TTGTGCCAATCGAAGTCCAGCAATCAGGGCTTCGTATTCTGCCTCATTGTTGGATGCATTGAATAACAATCGGAATGACTGTTCTAGAATTTCTGTTGTTGGAGACTCCAACCTGATTCCCACTCCGGATCCTTGCTTTGTTGAAGACCCATCTACATGTAATTTCCAAGTTTGGTTCTCCGGTTGCTCTATCGTTCCCGGTATTGGTAACTCGGTCAAGAAGTCTGCTAAAACCTGAGCCTTCATACTGATCCGGCTATTGAATTCTATATCGTACTCGCTTAATTCCACCGCCCATTTCGCCAAACGTCCGGACTGACTTGGACTATGAAGTATTGTTCGGAGTGGTTGGTTGGTTAATATTTCAACCGGATGGGATTGAAAATATGGGCGCAGCTTCCGAGCCGAAGTCACCACCGCGAGTGCGAGTTTTTCCATCATTGTGTATCTGGTTTCCGGATCCGTCATTGACTTACTTACGTAGTAAATTGGCTTCTGTTCCCCGCGGTCTTCTCGAACCAAGACTCCACTAACCGCATGGTTTGAAACCAACACGTACAAATAAAGTTTTTCATCCACTTTGGACAGTATAGGTGGAGTGGTTAAGTATGCCTTAAGCTGCCCAAAAGCTTCTTCACACTTCTCATCCCAAAGGAATCCTTTGTTTCCTTTTAGAATTTGGTAGAAAGGTAACAATTTATCTGTTGATCTCGAGATAAAACGATTCAAAGCCGCAATCCGCCCAGTCAACCGTTGTACTTCCTTGAAGTTTTTTGGAGATGGCATGTTTAGAAAGGCGTTAATTTGATTTGGATTGGCTTCAATCCCTCTTTCTGTCACAATATAGCCAAGAAATTCTCCCTACGGGACTCCGAATGTGCACTTCGCCGGATTCAGCTTCATTTGATATTTATTGAGAATATCAAAACATTCTTCTAAATGCTTAACGTGATCTTCTTTCTTTAACGATTTAACCAACATATCATCTATGTAGACTTCCATTGTTTTCCCGAGATGAGGGTGGAACATTTTGTTAACCAACCGTTGATAAGTTGCCCCTGCATTTTTCAAACCGAAAGGCATTACCTTATAACAATAGATACCTCTATCAGTGATAAATGACGTTTTTTCCTGGTCTTCGGGGTTCATCATTATTTGATTATAACCCGAGAAGGCGTCCATGAATGTTAACAGCTCATTCCCAGCGGTGGATTCCACAAGTCGATCTATATGCGGGAGCGGGAACACTACAAGAAAACAGTCGATTACCGACTACAGCTTCCGACTATTAATGTAGTCGCCAATTTTATCGACTATTATGTCACTATTTTACGACTATTTAACGACTAAAGAAAAGTAGTCGTAAGTTAGTCGCTAAAAAGCGACTAAAACAGGTTGTCAGTAATGTAGTCGCTATTTGGCGACTATTTACCGACTAATAAGTAGAATATATATTATAGTCGTATATTAGTCGCTAATTTAGCGACTATTTTCCGACAGTATATATTAGTCGCTAGTTTGGCGACTACATTACGACTCTTTCGGCGAGTCGTAAATTAGTCGCCAATTTGTCGTATTTTTACAGTTAAGAAACACGTTTTTTTCGTTTGTGGTAGGTGTACCGGTTTTTTGGCGACTACAACTTTTAGTCGCCAATTAGTCGCCCAAAAGTTGTCTATATAAAAGAAAACAGCACTCATCTCCTCTCTCTTCCTTCACATAAGAAAAAAAAACGAATTCGAAAAAAAAAAAACAAATTTGGAACAAACACTTTTAAAAAAATTAGTTTCTTTATATTTTATTGGTAATGACGGTAAATTACAATTATGGCGGTAATGGTGGTTATCGGGAGTGGATGTACAAGCGGTTCGACGAAGTGACGGGAAATTTGTCATCAGAGTACGTAGCCGGTGTGGAGGAATTCATGACGTTTGCTAATAGCCAGCCTATAGTACAGAGTAACCGCGGTAAATTTCACTGTCCTTGTAGTGTGTGCAAGAATGAAAAACATATGGTCTCGGGTAGAAGAGTTAGTAGTCATTTGTTTAGTCAAGGATTTATGCCAGATTACTATGTTTGGTATAGACATGGGGAAGAACTCAATATGGATATAGGAACGAGTCACACTGATAGGACATATCAAACTGAGAATCATGAAGAGGTGGGTTATGTTGTAGAAGATCCTTATGTGGATATGGTGAACGATGCATTTCGTTATAACGTGGGGTTTGATGATAACTATGATCAGGATGGTAGTTATCAGAATGTCGAAGAACCAGTACGTAACCATTCAAATAAATTTTACGACTTGTTAGAAGGTGCACAAAACCCATTATACGATGGTTGTCGTGAAGGTCAATCGCAGTTATCGTTAGCTGCTCGACTCATGCATAATAAGGCGGAGTATAATATGAGTGAAAAGTTAGTGGATTCGGTTTGCCAAATGTTGACAGATTTTTTACCAGAAGGAAACCAGACAACCGGTTCGCATTACCAGACCGAAAAATTGATGCGCAATTTAGGTCTTCCATATCATACAATTGATGTTTGTATGAACAATTGTATGCTTTTCTGGAAAGAAACTGAAAAAGAAGATCAATGTCGGTTTTATGGTGCACAAAGATGGAAGCCTAAGGATGATCGTCGTAGAACCAAAGTACCATATAGTCGAATGTGGTATCTACCTATTGGTGACCGATTGAAGAGAATGTATCAGAGCCACAAGACAGCAGCGGCAATGGGATGGCATTCCGAGCACCAATCAAAGGAAGGAGAAATGAATCATCCTTCAGATGCGGCAGAGTGGAGATATTTCTAAGAGCAAAATCCCGAGTTTGCGGAAGAACCCCGAAATGTATATCTTGGCTTATGTACAGATGGGTTCAATCCATTTGGCATGTCTCGTAATCATTCGTTGTGGCCTGTGATCCTGACTCCATATAATTTACCCCCAGGTATGTGCATGAATACAGAGTACTTGTTTCTCACAATTCTGAACTCTGGGCCAAATCACCCGCGAGGTAGTCTCGATGTCTTCCTCCAACCTCTTATTGAGGAGCTAAAAGAGTTGTGGTCTACCGGAGTTGATGCATTTGATGTGTCTTTGAATCAAAATTTTAATCTAAAAGCAGTGCTGATGTGGACGATAAGCGATTTTCTGGCGTATAGCATGTTATCAGGATGGACCACCCACGGTAAACTGTCTTGTCCAATTTGCATGGAAAGTACAAAGTCATTTTATCTACCTAATGGAAGGAAGACATGTTGGTTTGATTGTCACCGAAGATTTCTTCCTCATGGTCATCCATTACGGAAAAACAAAAAAGACTTCCTTAAAGGAAGAGGCGCTTTTAAAGAGTATCCACCTGAATCTTTGACCGGTGAGCAAGTTTATTATGAGCGGTTGGATGGCGTAAATCCACCAAAAACCAAGGACGTTGGTGGCAACGGTCATGAAAAAAAGATGCCAGGCTATGGGAAGGAACATAACTGGCACAAGGATAGCATATTATGGGAGCTGCCTTACTGGAAAGATCTCAATCTGCGACACAATATTGATGTGATGCATACAGAGAAGAATTTTCTGGACAACATCATGAATACTCTTATGAGTGTGAAAGGTAAATCAAAACACAACATCATGTCAAGATTGGATATTGAAAAATTTTGTTCTCGGCCAGCCTTACATATTGATAGTAAGGGTAAAGCTCCATTCCCAGCATATATATTGACAGATCAAGCCAAAGCGAGTTTATTGGAATGTGTGAAACATTCGGTTAAATTCCCAGATGGTTATTCCTCAGATTTGGCTACTTGTGTAGATATGGAGAATGATAAGTTTTCAGGCATGAAGAGTCATGATTGCCATGTTTTTATGGAGCGACTACTTCCATTTATCTTTGCAGAACTCCTTGACCGAAACGTACACCTTGCGTTATCAGGTACTACTAATTACTTATTATTTGCGATACTTAACAATATATTATTCTAGTATTTTATCTAATAATTTTAAATGATGATGTAATTTGAATATATATTTCAGGGATTGGATTATTTTTCCGGGACTTATGTTCAAGGACTTTACAGAAAAGTTGTGTTCAAATTCTAAAACAGAATATTATTTTAATCTTATGCAACTTGGAAAAGATCTTTCCACCATCATTTTTCGATGTGATGGAGCACTTGCCTATACATCTCCCTTACGAAGCTGAATTGGGCGGCCCGGTCCAATATAGATGGATGTATCCTTTTGAGAGATTTTTCAAAAAGTTGAAAGGAAAAGCAAAGAACAAAAGATATGCTGCAGGATCAATTGTTGAATCATATATCAATGACGAGATTGCTTATTTTTCAGAGCACTACTTTGCAGAACATATACAAACAAAATCAAGGTAAATGTGTATATATATATATATATATGTTTATATTTGGCATGTACTTCTAACATATTAACTCGTTAATTTGGATCAGGTTAACAAGATTCGATGAAGGTGAAGTTCCTGTATATCATGTTCCTGGGGTACCTAACATATTTACGCAAGTCGGCCGTCCAAGTGGAGAAATGCGTGAAGTATGGCTTTCAGAGAAAGACTACCAAAGCGCACATGCATATGTTTTACGAAATTGTGCCTATTTTCAACCAATTGAGAGGTATAAAACATATCTTCCAAAAATCACTCTTTAATTTACAATATCCACTATGATTATTCATATATTTTTTGTGTTTGTATAGTATGTTCGAGGATTTTCTTTCTGCAAAATATCCGGAATTGACCGAGAAAGAACTATACACAAAAAGAGCTGAAGAATATCAATTATGGGTTAAAGATTATGTATGTCAACATATTTTTTTTAATTGGGTTAAGTGATGATCATTTATTTCAATTTCTAATTATATATATTGATGTGTGTTTATATATAGGTTACATATTGGAACGATACTTCTCCATTTCCTACTTGGGTTCAAGAGATTGTACATGGACCTTTAAACAAGGTTAAAACTTGGCCAATGTATTTTACAAGAGGCTATTTGTTTCATACGCAGAATCACGGAGCTGGACGAAAGACATGTAACTATGGGGTAAGTGTTAAAGGTGAAAATTACGCGGATGCATCTGATTCAGCGGATTTCCACGGGAACTTAATTGATATCATAGAACTCCAGTATGAGGGCATGGTCAATTTGAGGATCACACTTTTTAAGTGTAATTGGTATGACCCTGTTATCGGTAGAGGCACTCGGCGGAGCCAAAGTGGCGTTGTAGACGTTCTATCAACGAGAAAATACAATAAATACGAGCCATTTGTTCTAGGTACGTATACTTGTATATTAAAATTCTATATATTTAAAACATATATATTCCGTATATATATTTATACATGAATAACTTTTGTATACAGCTTCTCAAGCAGATCAAGTTTGTTATATTCCTTATCCATATACGAAGAAACCAAAGAGCATTTGGCTCAATGTTCTAAAAGTGAATCCGAGGGGAAACATTTCAGGAGAATATGAAACCAATGACGATCCAACTCTTTTGCAAACAGAAAATGATGATGGTGTTTTGCTGACTACAATTGAAGATATTGTACTTGACAATCGAGTTGAAGATTTTGACCCAATAATCCTCGATTACGATGTTGGTGATGCTGAACCAGAAGATGAATTCCAGTGTAATTTATCGTCTTCTGACGATGACGAAACATGGTCTGAAGAGCGCTACTAAATCCATAACTATTTTATATTTATTTATGTAATTGATGTTTAATTATTAAAATTATAAATAAAACATGTTTAATTATTATTTTACAGAATCCCATTATGTTTAATTAGTTAAATTATGTTAATTATGAAAAAATTAAGTAGTGATTTTTTACCGACTAAAACGCGACTAATATTGGGCTAACAAATTAGGCCCAAACCCAATTCCAGTGTAGCGACTAAAAAACGATTACTCAAAATGTTTGGGCCTTTTACGAGGCCAAAGCCCACTAACACTTGGTAAAAATGAAGGAGGAAACCGAGAAACCCTAGTTCTTCATTCTTCTCGATCTTTCTTCTTCGTTTTCTCCGCGTTCTCTCTACCTTCGATCTCTCATCTCCGATTCTTCTACCTTCGATCTCTCATCTCCGATTCTTCTACCTTCGATCTCTCATCTTTGTTATTCTTCGCCTTTTAATTCGATCTCCAATCTCTCTGCTTCATTCCTTTTTTGATTCTGTAAACCCTAGTTCTTCGATCTCCAATCTCTTTCTTCTGTAAACCCTAGTTTGATTCTTTAAACTCTGTCTTTTGATTCTACGATGCCTAACGCCGGGGGAGGACGAGGATGAAAGCGAAAAACAATCCCTAACGTGTCTCAGCGAGCCGGTGGGTCAGCGCCTTCCAAACGACCAAGCACGCTACCTCAACAGTACAACTTCACGCCGGCGGCGGTTCAAGTTCCTCCGACGTAGTCGCCTGAAGCACCTCAGGCCAATTTGCAAGGCCAGCCGACGACAGCTCCCCACTTCCGCAACTATCCGCCGCCGGTTCAACTTTTCCAGAACTCCACCAATCAACAACGTGAAGTAGATCCACCGGCTCGATCTGAAGAAGTCCAGTTTAATCCACCTACACAACCCAATCTTCAGGAGGAAGATCCAAATTCTCCAAATCAGACTTTCAGCTCACAGC